TGGTGAAGGTGATGGGTTCCTCCCTCAGTCGCTTTACCGGGGGCATATGAGTGACTTCCCCCACGTAAAGCGATTGAGCCCACTTCTTTCGCTGGCTGGTGGAATCGCCCCCTGTATTGCCACCGGTGATCATGAGGATGTGGCGTTTTTTCTCCTGGTAGTGGGGGTACTCCTCATCTTCTTCTTCCAAGTTTCCGATCTCCCTCTTCTTGCCGAGGGGGATGGTATTCGGGTTCACCCAAGCGTTCACCTTTGTGTGGTGCCCTCGGGGAGGCCCCTGATGAGAAGGTCCCTCCTGCCGAGGGCTCTGAACAAATTGGGACAGGTGTCCCGCTTGTATTAATCTCTCGATGGCCGTTTTTAGCTGGTGGCAGTCATCGGTCATGTGCCCCTGATGCCGGTGGAAACGACAGTAGGGAAACTGAGGGTTGATAGCATGTACCTCCGGGGGTGCGCGAGAATCGCGCTCGACGAGGCCCCTCTCCTCGGCAAAATCAAGGATGATGCTGACGGGTGCGTCAATGGTGTCCGGGGGCGGTCCAGGAGAATGGGTTGTGCCCAAGTCTTAGGGTTGTTCTTATAACCTCCCCCGGGCTTGGTTTGTCCTTACCGAGGGCGGTCATTAGAGGGTCCTGAAGACTTGGGGTGATTCGGAGGAGCCCCCGGCCCCCGGTTGTTCTTATTGTCAGTCCTCGGGGGTTGCTGATCTGGGTGCTGATGGTATTTCTCCACCTCCTCGGCCTCAGCGTATCGGTCCCCCCGTTGCAGGGCCCTTATGTAGTCGCGGGGGGGTTCAATGATGAGGCTCCTTGAAAAGTTGCCAGTGCGGAGGATGGTCTGTAGGAGGGCCAGGAGGGTCCCGTCATCAGCACCGTCGACTTTGTCGGCCTCCGTCCTCCAGCGCTCCAGGAAGTCCCGAAGGGTCTCATCCCTCTTATGTCGTATGGTTAGGAGGTGGGAGAAGTGCTTCCTCGTGCGACATCTCCCGGCAAATTGCGTCAAGAATCGCTGGGCGAGTTCTTGCCACGAATCAATGCAGCCCTCGGGCAGCCGGTTGAACCATTCGTATGCCGGCCCCTCTAAGGTGGAGAGGAACCAACGACACAAATATTCGTCTGACGCACCTACCATCATCATGCTGTTCTGGTATTTGCTGTAGTGTTCCTGAGGGTCCGTCTTCCCGTTGTAGGGCTGTATGTGTTGCCCTCGGTATTTTTCCGCGATCCGGGCCGTCAATACCCTTGGGGTAAATGGCGTCCGGGTCCAGAGCTGGATGACGGGTTCCCCGGAGCCCTCAGCCACCCTCTTCTGTAATTCCTCCATTTTGGTCATCATGGCCTCGTATTTGAGGTCTGAATGAGGGGTGGAGGTGGTGGCGTGAGCTTTGTTGGCCTCCATTTCTTCAATCCGGCGTTGGAGGGCCGCAATAATTTCGTCCCGGGGATCCTTCGGGAGGGTCTCCGCCCCTTGCGACCGAACCCGGGCCGAGTGGGCCTGGTTGATTTGGTGGCGAGCATCATCGGCATAGAGGGGTGCCTTGCTTTTGTCCCGAGGGGGACGCTCCTCGTCTGCCCTCGAGACAGACCCTCCGCTTTCCTGGGGCCTTTGGAGTGCTTTCCCTCCGAGGCGGTCTTGGACCCCTCGGCGGTCTGGCCCTCCTCCGAGCCGGTTGAGGGCGGAAGTGCGGGGCCTTTCTCTGTTGTCATTGTGGCGGTCCCAGGACTGAACTTCCTGGGAGGACGTATCTTGGGCCACTACCCCTTCGTCGTTCCTAACCCGAGGGGTGGGGTTTCCGAAGGGGTGTGGCAGAGGGGGAAGTATGATGTTCTCCCCAACCTGGGGGTGAGCCGGAGCCAGGGTGCCGAAGGCACCCGGGTTCTGAGTGAGCGTTTGGATGAAGGCGGAGAGCGCTGATTGCACGTCGATGGTGAGAACCGGAGGGCTCACTTGGTCATCGCTCCGGTTTTTCTTCTTGGCCTCGATGTCGAGGCGGGCATCAGGGGCATTCTGTTGGATCTGAAGGCCTAGGTCGACAGCCGCCTGTTCCAGCCCAGCGATGACACTGCCCTCGGGAGCCCTGTGAGAGGCTTCGGGGGCGTTGACGTCGCCGAGGGCCAGGTTCTTGTCTTCTACGTTTTTGGAGTTGGCACGTGTTGTTCTCACCATTTTGGTAGAGGGCTAGCGTTTGGCAAAGGGGGAGGGTTTCTTACTCGATTGTTCGACCTCTCAACGAGAGCACCAAATGATGGATAGTCTACCCGGGGGGTATATATCCGAGGGGTTATTGCTGAGAATAACTTAGAGAGAAGTCAGAGCATAAGTAAGTAAGAGAGAGAGTGTATTCAGCATGAATGTCGTGGTTTACAACGGGGAAAGGGGGGTGCTATTTATAGTAGCAATAAATGCCGGACAGGGACACGTGTCAAGCATCCCTTGGCCGAGAGGTCACCTCATCCGGTTGGCGCTGGCAACCGCATGTGGCCGCATTTAATGCGGCTGTTGGATGGGACGTTGTACAGGGCACGGTGATCTGTACGCGCGTGAAGCGGATATCATGTCGGGAGAGGTGCCCTCGGCTGCAGAGGACTAGCCGAGGGCTCTTAGTGCCGAGGACCCCTGAGTGTGCCGAGGGCTCCAGGTGCCGAGGGCTACTGTTTTCGCCGTTTTCTCCCAGTTCCTCTGTTTGTTCGAAATATCCATGCTGTGATAGTTTGCGTGCTGCTTGGTACTCTGGGCGCTGTGATTTGGGCCTGTTTGAGCTTCCTGGGTCGGTTGGGCCTTCATTGGTGTAGTAGGAGTCTGTGAGCCGGGTGTTCCCGGGCCATATACTCCATCAACTACTTTACTCCTTAAATAATGTGTCCAACCTAATGTAGTGCACATTAAAATACGGAGGGAGTACAACACATGTATAATTCCATAGTATATTCAAAACCGACAAAACTAAAACAAAACAAAAAGAAGATTTAGAACTTGATTCAGTCCCTACAGATGCTAATGAAAGGCACATTTTAAAGATTGAAAACAAAGTAAAATCGTCCCTTAAAGTGATTTTTAATGCATTATCCTAAATTCTAATACATGTTCATAATTTCATATCCATCAGTTACACAAACTTCTTAGCTAAGTCTCAGGATACTATTATCACATTGTCACATACTTCGTACTATCTTTGTCCCACAAAGGTACTCACTCATTTCCTTTTCAATCTGTCTCAATTTGAGGTTCTTTTCTAATAGTTGTTTGGTTCATGTTATTCCTCTCTACTGCCCACCAGCACATAGCAGATAAACACAGAGAAGGTCAACCACCCTATTATTAAAATCCCACTCTGCTGCCTCAATAATTGCCTCTTCATTTCTGGGCTACATTACACATTAGAAGGTTTACACTTCTTCTGATACATTCCCAAGGAATTAGGTTTACCCATTTCTTACACATTATCAAGGGCATGCATTATGAGCATCCCAAACAACATTGACTACGACACCCAGTTGCAACAAGTGCCATCTGGGTTGCAGCGTGATCAGAAAGAGAACAATCGCGATCATCACGGCCTTGGCGCTTTCTCGTGATAAATGGTTGCTGATTCGATTTTTAAGACTCAGATCTATGTATCGAAGGCGGGAAAGTGCAAATGAGAAAGCTACGCAGCATTGGCTGCAAAGATCCGGGTTGCCAAGCCAAGATACGGGTAGATCCACTCAATGCCCAATATACTAGGCCCATAAAGGAGAAACATGAACAGATCATAGCCAGAAGAAGAATATCAGCTGTCATATGATAAATTGTTTGCGCTGCTATAAGTAGGAACATTTAAAACAGTCACCCGTGCGATGCAAGGAACATAGATTAAGTGATAATAAAAAAGGAAAAATGACTTAAAGGGGAAGGAATGCAAGTGATAGTAAAAAAGGAAAAATGAATTAAATTAATACGGCGTGTCAAATATTTTTTATCTACTAAAATTAATCTTATTTTGAAAAATTATTAACCGACACACCGAACAACACTATCATATTTTTTGATAAGAAATTAAAATAATAGGCTGACATAAATAATACCATTAGTTGACTATAGAATAAAATAGCACTTCAATAATCATTTCAATAACCCTTTGTTGCAGTTTAATTAAGTCTGCCTCACACAGCAGAAACTGCAATTTTACCGACACTGGAACACAAACTCCGTCTTCTAGCCATCGAATCGCAAGCTTGCCATGGCTGAATGTGGTCGCATTTGTGCCACAACACCAGTCGCCGGCGCCCAATGATGAACATGTCGTTGCTTTTTTTCTTGATGAATATCCTTAGCCGATTCCTATCTCAATCCACGGGGTCACGCCTGCTGGAGATGTCAGTACCCACGAAAAACTGAGAACCCCAATCCTACTCTAATGATGCCCTCCACAGGAAGCTTCTGGTATGGGTTCAGTCTGGAGAACCCCCGACTTAGTTCCACCGAATGCAGATTTAGAATCGGCTATAATGGAGTGCTTTCAATCGATTGACAGGCAAATATATGTCAAAATGATTTGGATGGAGATTTAGAATAGGCTCTAATGGAAAAACATAAAGGGAGTGGCAACTGACACCTTTCTCATCACCTAATGTGTAGTGCAGAGTGTTTCGTATTGTTCACTGGTTTATCAATTGGTTAAAAGTTTCGATCACACAAAAGTCCCGATACATTTGAGGGAACAAATGAATGAGCTCACATCCTACCATACCCGACCCAGTTTTTCGATCGGTATCTTTAGGCGGGAAAAGGAGCAAATTTTTCACTTTTTTTTGTATATAGTACTATTGACAATCTTAAATATAACTATTGACATCTCATAAAAATATTTATCTTTTTTAGGAAAAATTATTCTAAAACGCCTTTGATTGATTTTTTTCTGTTCATTTTTTTATTCCCAAATTCGACAACATATTAACAAAGCATATGTAATTCATGACTCAAAAAATCAATAGATTTCTTTATTTATAAGTATAACATTTAAAATATGACACCATAGTTATATTTGAGATAAACATGATGACTGAATGTTGAAATTTGAAAATGATATTTCTTTTCTTTAAGAAATCCATACCTTCCATGATACGGATTAAAATAATTTACCTAAAAATATGACTAAACCTTAATCTCTTTTCTTATACATCACAGATTCACAATTATGATTTCTTTCCTTAGAACGGTCATTTAATCAAATACTAACTCATAGGTAATAGGTAATAAAGGAAGTCGGCCAATAGTAAACGGTTCCTCGGAGAGGCCAGGGAAATTCATGAACAATTCGTCTTCCCGAGAGAGCATTGCTTCCATAAAAGACGAAGCAGCATCTTCAAAATGGTCTTCGTTTGACAAAGAATTCCTGTCATTTTTAGGAGGGCCCTCGTCATCATGATTCTCTGCTGGCTCCTGTGGAGAGTCCCACTCAGATTGCTGGACTGGCAAAAACGCATCTTCAAGCAGAAAATCGCACCAACTGAAACCCGATGATGAGAGTGAAGAAGACATGGGAGCTTTGACCACCAAGTAATTGTTATTCGTGATGGATTTAATGGCTTGGAGCTCGGCGAAAAGGTCGGTATGACGGTGATGGTGGTCACCGGAATTTCTGGCCGACTGGAAAGGATCGTCGTCGCAGATATCTTCCAGGAACACCAATCAACACCCCAGCACCCCAAGGCGGACCCAAACACATCAAAGGTCACCCTGGGCTCTGCAAGACTGCAAGACACGAGTGAGAACCAAACGTTGGTTTTCTTCTTCCAACCCCATCGCTCGAGTAATTACGGGCACCCTGCTGCCGGCGTCAGAACCTTTCCCCATGGAAGTGTGGGAGCAGAGCACTGGGGATTACCCAGAAGAGGGAACCCAGAGCACCCCAGCAAATCAACACCAACACTAAACCCTAACCAACAAACGGAAATTATGACCCCCAAAACACAAAGCTTGCTTACACGTACACAACATGGTAATAGAAGCGCAGGAATCTCCCCAACCCAACTCCCGTTCGTCTACCGCCGTTTGATTCACCTAGGCCAACCGCTTCCAACTACCTCCCCAAGCAGCGAGCTCTATGGCCTCGTTAGACTGACTTAGGCTTGGACAATCATTCGAATGACATGTTTCTGGTTGCTATCCAAGGGTGAACAACTTCACTTTTCTGGTATTCTTCATCATCGTTTTTTACACTGTTTGCATTCAAGAATTCTCATTGGTGGATAACAAGAAGACGTTATTTGAGGATGATGATGCTATTCGCGGAAGAGATTATATTTTTGAATTTGAATGGCATAACACGCAAATATCATCTCACGGGTGCATTGGAAGTCGAACACGGTGTCTGGCAGATCAAATCAACTTTTAATCACCTGGCCCACGTAACAGAAGTTGAAAATTATCCACAAATCCGATCCATTTCTTTTTACCCGTATCTTTTGGCGGGAGTATTGGCTGGCTTTCCACCTTGGTTTGAAACTTTGAATATAGATAGATTATTGACTCCAATGCATAAAACGGAATTCTAACGCAATAAAAATCATCTACATTCTTGTCATCAAAAAACTACCACAGGTTACTCTCTTCTACCAAAAAAAATATAACTCTTCTGCTAGTTATTCATCTTCAAAGGCATAACTTGAAAACAGTCTCATCTCTTGGAGGTTACATCTAGCATCTGAAGTTACATACAGAGCATGAAAGTGGAATTCTTGTAGATGAATTTTTTGCTTCCATAAGATGATTAAAAAATCTTTGTTTGTATGCGGTTCTCAACAATTCAATTTAAACAAAATAAATTGATTGTAACTCAACTAATACAATTCATGTAAAAGAAAAAATGTGACTCTGTAGTAAAACCTTCAACATATATGAATATGACTGTGATGTACTTTTCAAATGAAGAAAATGATGAAGGCATCGTAGTCTTAATTTGTCTATCACTCATCATTCAAATCAAAAGAAAAAGAAAGAAAAATAATTGAAATACTCTCAGAGTTTCACGCATATACGAAGATGAAAGAAGGAAGAGGACTTTGACGGAAATAAATTCACTTACCGGCTTAAATTTAGCCAGGAAAATAATATTTTGCTGAATCACAATGTGTGAGAGGCTTGCCGAAAATGCGAAGAGGAATTGACGATGTGGGTTTTTTCCGGCTCCAGCTCAGCAACATAAGGCAAACCCACGTTCCTGTTGGAGAGACTACATTTATCTCAAAGTCTAATAATATGATGTGGCAGCGCATTTTTAAGGAATCCATTTGCCCACTACAGATGCTCTTAGGGGTGTTTGAATTTGATTCTTAAAACTGCTTCTGCTCCTGATAAGTTGGAGTGTTTGGGTAAAAGTGCAGAAGTGATTCTGGTGCTCTAATTTACTCCTAGAATCAGTTTTTTTAGAAGTTGGGGGTGACCGGCTTCTGAAAACTGATTCTGATTCTGCTTCTGCTTCTGCTTTAAAAAAGAAGCAGAATCAGAATAACTTTCAACACCCCCTTAGTCTCACTTAAGTTTTATCTCTTCCTTGCTTTTATGTTTGGTTAGATTAATTGGTTAACATATTCTTTTTTGAGTGTCGTCTTCACGATCTTCTCCCTATCTTTTGTCTAGGTTTTTTTTCAACAGGCGGCTTGCGCCGTTTCTTTTGTCCGGTGAATGATTTGGAGCGACAGTGAGAGGGCGACCGTTACCACGCTTTGCTTCTTCATGGTCTGCTTCTCTATGTTTCTAGTCATAGTCGTATGGTTGATAGTGCTAGTTGGTTACGAATAACTATTGTCAGTATTGGTCTCTTTGAGTTTGTTGTAACGATCTGAAACCTAATGATATTAATATAAGCACTTTTTTCTTTCAAAAAAATGAGTATGGATGCATTTTTGTGAGCATCAAGTATGTTCTTTTGAGTATTAGGAGCCTAACAATGAACATTAGTGTTCTCTTCTTCATATCTTCTACTTCGTTCTTTGGTATATATTTTTCGTGTATAAAAAAATCTTAAATTATGTCTATAATCAATTCCAATAAATTTCAATATTATAATCTAATGTAGTATGATTTGTTTGAAATGTGCAACATTTTTAAATGAGCATAAAACGGTACCAAATGAGCATACATATTACAAAATGAGTATCAACAAAATTCAAATATTCATTTGGATATGTTCATTCATTTTGGGCGTTATACTCATTTGAGTTTAACATAAAACTCATTTCTAATATGCTCAATATTCATTTGTGTATGTTCATTCCTTTTAGGCGTATACTCGTTTGAGTTTAATATAAAACTCATTTGAGATCAATAGTAGCAAGGATTCCAACAAGGATTCCTCAACAATGAAGTAGACACCCCTTATATTCGAAAATCACCAGCTAAACATCAAAACTGCGTAAGAGAAAGAAAAAAGGAAAAGAGTGAAAGAAAGAAAGAGGGAGGAGAGGTAACTACGCCGGCAGAACCGCTGCATATGTGCTAGAGGAGAATGGGGCGAGTGGTGAGCGGCGACTATAGTTCCTCAATTTTGAAACTATAGTCACAAAACGATTAAAAAAAGAAGTTATAAGGCAATATGTTTTGAAAAAGGAAAAATTACAAATATTTTTCACAAACTTTGATGGACGTGTTAGTATTTGTAGTGATATATGGGAGGATACTAATCATCATTTATATTATTTGGGTGTGACTGCACATTATATTGATGATGATTGGGAAATGCATAAATGTGTTCTTGCTTTTCGTGAATTTAATGATCATCGACACACCGCTGATAATATTTATATTCTGCTTGAGCGTATTTTAATTGAGTACAATTTGATTGATAAGGTGTTTGCTATGAGTTTTGATAATGCTAGTAATAATACTGCTGCTATACCTAGATTGCATGAATTGTGTGGTTCTTCTACTTTGATGGGTAGGTTTTTTCATCAGCGTTGTGCATGTCATATTTTAAACTTATGTGTAAAAGATGGGCTAGCCGCGTTGGGAGATGCTATGAAGGTTGTGAAGGGGGGAATTAGACTTATTTGGGCTAGTAATCCATTAAAAATGCAATGTCGTCAATATTTGAGAGATAGACATGTCAAATATTGTGTTTTTCCTAAAGATTTATCTATTCGTTGGAATAGTACTTATAACTTAATTGATGTACTTATTAGATTTAAAGATCATTTTCCTTCTTTTTTAAAAGAATATGCTAACTATATTATAAACCCGGCCGACATCGACACTATGGAGAAAATTGTGAATGTTTTGGTGTTTTTTAATAATGCAACTCAAACTTTTAGTCATGTTTATACACATATCGCAAACCAATTTTTTGTTGAAGCTGTTAATCTCGTCGTCGCTTTTTGTGAATTTTCCGATGCCGCTTACGTTAGTTATTTTTGTTCTTACATGAAAGAGAAGTTTTTAAAATATTATTCACGTGTTCCGCATAACTCCGCCATGAGATCATTTTTTTGGTATCATGTCTGTCCCCAGCCAGGATAAAGGAGGAGGGTGCTGTGGTAGGCGCGTGACGGCCAACAGCATCACTTAGTCACATCACATGACATGAATCGAAATATGAATATCGCTACAGCTAGGTCGTCGCCCGTAAGCGACGCGGCATCCCTCTGCCTGGGGGTGGTGTCAAATGAGCAAGGGCGTGCTACACTTCATAGGCCTGGGTGTGGTGATAAGAATGCTAAGGCTGCTAGGTCGTCGCCCGGAAGCGATGCGCCACTCCAATGCCCGGGGATGGTGTCTGTTGGAGATATTTAATTATGAATCAAGTTGGTCATAGATTAGCTTTATATTTAATCCTTGTATTTAATTAGTGCATGAACTAGATAGAAATCAGGCCAAGTGTTAGGCCCATATAAACAGGCTAAAAGCCTGGTACGCCTAACCTAAACCTCGCCTATAAAAAGGGAGCCGAGGTTTAGGAATAGGTGGAACGTCGTACTTATTATTCATAGCCTTACGCGCATATCTTTCTGTTGTACGAGTTCACGGTTTATCAAAGAAGGTTTTACGGTGATTCATTCTGTGTTCATCTTTACGTTTAATCTTCCTTGTTAGATCGATTATTCATTGCTGTTACAGAAACAGGGACTAACAATTGGTATCAGAGCCGATCGAGAACCGATCAGAAGAACTCCTGCAGAATACTCTGTTTTTGTTAACGTAGTTCTTTCTGTCGATTTTTTGCTCTGTAATTTTGTTTCTTATTCAAATATTGTAAAAGTTACACCTTTGGAATCGCCTTTTCAAAGCGATCAAAGGGTATACTTCAGATTGTGTTTTACGCAAATTCAGATTTCGAGATATCTCGAGCAAGGGTTGTCGACATCCTGCTTTTTCACAGGTTCTGCTACGTTTTTCGAGCTGAAAACTTTACCCGAAGATCTCGACATTCAACTCTACAGGAAACTACCTTCAGATTTTGTTTATCTGATTTTTACAGGTTGCAGGATTTCGACATTGAGGATTTCGACATCTAGGATTTCGAGATCTTGATTTCGATAAAAGGATTCGACATCTGGTCTCGACATTTGACTTCTCAGATTAAGATTTCGAGTGATTAACTTCTCGACATTTCAAATCTCGAGATCAGCATCTCGAAATTTGAAATCTCGAGATCCCTAATCTCGAGATCCTTAATCTCGAGCCCAAATCTCGATACCGGGCCTCCTTTATCGAAATCTTAGATTTCGATATTCAGATCTCGACATCTGATTTTTCGACTTTCTGCCTCTGAAAATCTTTTGATCAATTTTCTCGAACGGTCAGTTTAGTACAACAATGGCTTCAGAATACAATGCACAAGGGAACAATAGTACCCCTCCTAGCCTCAGGAAGGGAGAATATCAAATGTGGAGGAATAGATTCCTTAATTTCCTCGAGCACAAAGAGAACTCTTCTGCGATGCTTGAATCTTTGCTTGAAGGACCAGCTGAACTCTTGATTTCAGTTGGTGGAGATCCAGAAAATAATCCTCCTATTTTTCCAGAAATAAGGAGGAAAGTGCCATCTGAATACACAGAAGCTGACAAGCTCAGACTTCGTGGTGACCTTATGGCCAAAACATACCTTCTTCAAGCAATACCAAATGAAGTTTATGTTCTCATTGATAGCATGCAGACAACTAAGGAAATGTGGGATGAAATAGAGAAGCTGCTACAAGGCACAAGCATCAGCCTCAAAACCAAGAAGACTACGATTCTCATCGCTTATGACTCCTTCAAAGCAGGTCCAGGAGAACCATTGAATGAGACTTACAACAG